CAATAGGTGGAATTTACTAAGGGGCCATTCACACAGAACAAGGTTTTGCTTTAAAAACATGAGATGCAGGGCAGAAAGTATTTAGTTTTTTTAAAGTTGAACTTAAAAGCCACTCCAAAGAGAAAGGAAAACTTGAAATCGCATCATATGACCCCTTTAAGGACAGCGTGTTATTCAAGAGATGCTGCAAAAGTTCGCAAATGCAGCAGTCAAAGACATCATTCTAGCCCATGTGCACATAGTGCAACAATATATCAGCAGCATGTTTGTGTTAATGGTCCCTGAATAAAATGATATCCCAACACCTCAGATGACCCAACACCTGAGAAAAGGTGACGCCAACACCTGTGAGGACCTCAGATGATACCAACTTTGAATAAATACAAAACTGCCAAATTTTCCTTACGTTGTAATCATTATGATCACAACATGATTGCCTTAATTGTGTTCATTGTTTCTGCTTGAATACATGTCATTAGCTAACTGCATCATTTATATTATCGTAGAACTGTGTATTTCTGCTATATGGACATTACTTTGATATCACCAACAAATTACTCTTCATTTGTAATGCAGAAACATGCATCTCCTGTAAAGCTGCTTTGAAATAACATGCATCAAATAAACGTAAACTGAATTGAAAATGTGAATGTCCATGGATAGTACCTTTTATTGGCAGGTGCTGTGTTTTAGTGCTTAAAAAAGGAAAGTAGGTTCCTTGATGCATGATCTATCAGTACTATATTGGTTATTGGTAAATATTTCATTGGGTATGTTTATTTCCCTTATTTTTACATTGTATTTTACATTTTATCCCCTTTGTCATCATATAATGTTCACAAAGTGAAAAATCTTTAAAAATTATTTAATACCACTGTCAAATGTTACATGTAAATGTCATTAGCAAATCTCAAAATTAATATCTGTTTTTCATACTGTGCATTACAATATGATGCCTACATTTAGTTTGACAATATACGATTACTGTATTTTTAGTGTTTATTTTATACATAATTTATAAATAATAGTAAATACAAATAGAGCTGATAATAATGCTAATTCATTTTAAAATTCACAGTGCAGTACAATTTCAACACATTTTGTAACTTGTTTCATTGGACTGAATACAGAACAGGTTTTTGCTGAAATACTGAATGCATTTGGCGAATTCGCCTCAATGTTTGTTGAATATGTCTCCAGAAACCTAGTAATTCTCAGCTCAGCATACATGTGTTTGCAGTGATACGTTGACATCCTTGTAGATAGACTAGGAATGCAGGTGTGATTGTGCAAGCTTAGCCAAGAAAAAAATAAAAACAGAACAAATACCTACACCCCCACACAAAAGAAAAATCCATCCAAATTACATCCCCAGATATCTAAACTTATCTGAGACTCCTTGTAGTACCAGCATGCTATTGTTGTTGCTGGTTCATAGATATGCTGGCAATGATTTTAGAGGGGATTGTCACGTATAACATGCAAGGGAAAAAAAAAAAAGGATTTTCTCTGAAGGGAATAAGTATCAGGTTCCTCTCACTATGGTATTATATAACGACACAGCAACAGCTTTGAGTTTCTTATAGTGGTAGCCATATCATGAAAAAAAGTCTTTGATCTCTTGAAATAAAAGGGTTCAATGTAAACATACTCAAAGTTTTAAAACTGCAAACTTTTCCAAGCCAAACAGACCACCTATTGAAAGTAAGCTGCAAAAACTTCTCTTTCCGAACTTCCTCAACTTTCTGAAGTCAGATTAATACATTGACACTTGACCACCCGCATTTGCACATCAATGATGCCTAATCGGTGGTCGGCAACTTGGACCGGCCAAGCGTGGTGAAGTAATATGGAGGAGGTAGAAAAGAAAATGTTATTATTCCAGTTGGCATATAACAAAAAGATATGGAGGTGTCAGATTATTTCAGTCTGACCTAAACTGTCTGTGTGTCACATTTCGGTGAGAATTGTTTTATGAACCTGCCACAATCTAATCCAGCCTTTGCAAAGAGGTTGCTATTGGGCAGCAACAACTATATTTGGACCAACAGCAAACCTGCCACAAACTGTGAAGGCTGTCTCTCATTTCACATGCAAAGAGGGTGTTTCCACAGTATATAAAGCTACAGCAGCAAAAACAGCCTATTGGTCAGAGGGTAGAAATAGTCACATAAAAATAAATTATTACTTTGGTACAACCTCAGGAGAAAATTCTCAAATAATGTTTGATATAACCCCATTAAAATTCTTAGAAATGCAGCACAACTTTCTCATAGTTTCTACTGTATGTTATTTGCAATTGTAAAACAAATAATGCTTTTAAGTATTTGTCTAATTTTCCTATTAAAATATAAAAATTATATATATATATATATATACAGTATATATATATATATATACTGTATATATATATACTTACGCCACACTGGATAAAACATTAAGACTATCTTGAATTAGTGTATTAATTTGAAGTATATTTTGTTACTGCACTGCCAGATTGTTTCCACTTGTTTAATTTATTTTTTTATTTAAAATAAGTCAAATAAAAAATAAAAGATTCATCGTCTGAAAATAAGTCTTAATGTAATGTTGCATAAGTAAAAGCATCTTTTTACATTGTTTAACTTCATTTTTAATGGAAAACAAGTAAAAAATATTAAATTAAATTAAAACTCACTAAGAGGTAATTCCTGAAAGTGTAAAGTCTAATTCTTAAGGTTGTAAATCCCATTCAGCAAGATGACTGGCCCCAACCCTGGTGGTCATACTCTACCATGCTAAATCATCTTAAGAGTATCATATCCACAGTTTAGAATAGTTCAAAGGCATGTGTGAATCTACAGACCTTGTCAGAGATTAGAGATAGAGGCCCCCAACACGCCTCAGGTGACTCCACTGAGCAGCCGCCAGAAGGCGTCAATTAAAAAACGTTCATCCATCAAAGAACCTAATCTCAAGTTCGGCCAACACTTCCATTGTAGCAGGGATTCCATACCACTGCTTCAACATAAAAGAAGGCATTAAGGTGTGCTGTGGGACTTCCATACCATTGAGAACACATAAAGAGGGATTTCGAGGTGTGCTATTGCTTACAGTGCAAAGCTAATTGTTCAGCAGCTCTTATTGTGAAGGCTATGCCACAGTGCCTTTGCTTCAATGAGCTAAAATGACGAAAGGGAATAGAATACCATAACAACAAAAACAAAAAAATGAGAAAAACAAAGACAGTACCTTGGTTATCCGGCTTTACGATTTACTGCTTGTTTGCAAATTGTAGTGTTTTCTAACTCAGTGAACAAGGCCGTTTGTAATTGCAGTCTATTTCAACACTATGAAAAGAAAAAAAATTCTTGTCGATTTGATGGCAAAGCATAAAATGACAAATCAAAATGCAACCTGAGTTTTTTTCGGCAGCAATAAACGTAGCTGGCCGCAGGCGATGTCTATATGAACCATGGCTGCCCTAATGTCCAAATAGGTTTCATATATTATATAGAGCCCCCCCAGACATCAATTCCTTTTGTTTCCCATGAGGCATTATTCTGCAATTTTTGTCATGTCCCTCAGAGAGTCAAAAACACGCTGCTCTCACTCCATGGCCAAGGCAATCGTCGACAGATCATATTCACTACAAACACACTCTGTTGTCTAAATAAATATGTTCTTGGTATAGAAAACACCTTTGTTCCATGGGTATGGAGAAGTTTTTCTGAGCGATATCAAGGTATGGCTGCACATTCTGTTTTCTTTGTGTGCTAGGACACAGGAGGATAGGAATCTTGAAGACATGAAAGACGTATATCGCTTGCTATCTTCAGCATGCTCTATCACTGTCTGAAATGTGTGGATAACCCAATGAATAAGATAAATGAAACAAAAAATGTAGATCTACAGTCTGAGCCTGTGTAATACACAGGAACAGTGGAAAAACAACCGGACTCACTAGGCTGGGCGCTACATTCCCAAACGCTTTGAATTCCAGCAGTGGACTTTGTCAGAAAATTGTGTATAATGGTGGAGTACATGCCTTCAACAAAAGACTAAGAATTGCTGTTTTTATCAGCAATTAAAGCTGACTGAGGTATGAACATGGCCTAAAAATATATGCAGGCTACATTCTGTGCCCTTAAAGCATGCTTTGTCAGTTTTTATATGATTCAGGCTTAGCCAACAAAAATATTGCCAATGTTTAGTCATGCAGCTAGGTATTTTCTGTAGTATGACAGCAGCAGCTATTTTCAAAATAGTATAGCTTCACCAAGCATTTTTCCAGTTATTGCACTTTCTTTCATATATAGAGTTGGGTAAATAAGATTCATGACACTGATTTGATTCATTTCAGTGGATTAGTGAATCAATTAAAAACGTAGTAAACATGTTTGTGAACTAATTCTTTTTAGTAAATGACTCACTAATCAAACAAATCACAAAATGATTTGAGTCCATTCAGTATTCTTTTTTTCCATCCAAATATTTAGTTAAATGCTGTATTATGTGCAATTACATAAAGGTTTTTGTATTTTTACTTAGCATAAATTTATAACAATGCAGTTTTCTACATTTTGGTAGTAGCTTGTAGTCTAGCAAACTGCTTTTTAAAAAAAGTACTTTGACTGAAGTGTAGCTTAGCATTATCATCTGTAAACAGGTTTCTAAAACATTCACCATGATTGGTCAGAAAATCAAATATTCAAGCAACAAAATCATGGTTTAGCCAGTGTTGCTACATTTGACTGGTTGGGATGACCAAACAAATTAGTGTTTTAAAATTGCCATTGAGATATTTTTTTTAAATGTTTTTTACACTTACAGCTCTCTCTGCATATTAAGGAGGGAAAGGAAAAAATATTCTAAGAATGACACCTTCAACAACTTTTAATCTGGCAATCTAGAATTTCAAAGTAGCTTCATGTACTGAAAGTGATTCCTAGAGAGAAGAGAAACATTGCTGTAGTATCTCAGGAGTGAGAGCATGTACTGCGAGAGACATCAGTGCTCACCTTGAATAGAGATGACGGGGTGCTCTAGGCGGGTACACTCCGGCCTTGTGTGGGGTGCTGGGGTGGGGGAGGGTTCTGTGGGGAGAGGGGACCTCTGGGATAGTATAGCAGGAAATGGAAGAGTGATGAAACAGAGGATAAGGCCGGGCACAGCCAGGGAAGCCACGGTCCGTGGCAACACTGTCATGGTGATGGAGGCCGACCTCTCCTCTCCTCTAGCTGCCAAGGTGGGCCTCTGGAATGCACCTGTTGAGAGGGGAGAAAAAGATTCATGGTCAACATACTTTTCTATGTTTATTTTTTTGCTATTTCTTTAAGGTTTCCATTTTTTGCAGCTCACACATCTTTACTGTCATATGATTTGAACAGTTTGGCAATATTGTACTTCTTTATGATTATGTCAAAGTTTTGTTGACTTGACAGCAAATGCGATTTGTCCTTACGACAACAGTTTAAATGTGTATGAACAGAAAGTGGGAAAAGTCACACCATAAAAAAAATAAAAACAAATTTTCTATTTGTTTTGAATTACTGATATATAAGCAGGGGGGCTGATTTTCAAACAAATGCTGATAAATTACTGTAGGCATTTCTGTAATTCAAACAAAAGGTCATGGGTTCAGTTTGTGTCTGCCAAATACATAAATTATAATGTAAATATATTACAATCATTTCAATGTAATAATGGCAAATGAGATACAAAGAACATGCCTTAATTCATAACACTGAATTAATACTAAATAAAATATATTTTTAAACAATATTTATGCAAAATAGAAAAAAAACAGAATACAATAAAATAACTAATTTTCTGAAAATGGTTACAAATATTTGCATTTTTTTAGCCTGGCTGATTACTAACGTGCATATTCTAACATCCAAACCTCAAAATTTTCCCCAGCAGAATTACTCCATAAAAAGCTACTAATATTCCAGTTGCTAACTAATAATATGAGTAATTTAGAAGTTGTGCTGTTCCTGGCTGTTTATTAGCACCTGCGGCATTGCAAAATCCTTCTCAAGCATCCTAACATTTTGTTAAGAGTGGCTGAAGCGTGTTTTTAACAAGGTCCCTGATCTTTTCAGTCCAGCCTGAACAGTTCGTGCAGCACAGTTCAGCCATGAATGTTTTGTGATTCAGTCACAATGCAATGCAGGCTTTGCAAAGAGATAGAATGATTGAGGCAACTACATTGGACCCCACAGAAAACCCTAAGAAAAACATGTGGCACTTCAAAAGCAGCAAGCTAGAACTTTCAGCTTCTGGATAACAACAATTACATAATAACGGTGATGGCTGGTGCAGGGGAACTGGGGTAGGAAGCAGAAGTGGTGGGTGGTGTTGTTAAAAGTTTCTGGCAGTAAGTGGTGGCCCAGCTTGATCAGCATAAAACCCCTTAAGTGCCCAGGCACTTCCGTCTCCTTCATATGCGGAGGAGTTTTAATATCATGGCTGATCTTATTAGAGGTGAGGCATGACATCTCCATCTCTATTCAGAGCAGCTCCAGTGCAGTCATATTACAACACACAGCAGTTACCTCAATCACTGTACTCAGCTGCCCGTCGATCTCCTCACACACCGCGTCATATGTTAACTTCTCAAATCATAATGTGTCACACTTCAGCAAGCAAGCCTATGGACCTAGGAGACCAAGATTAAATTGAACACCCACATTGCCCTAAGCTGGAATCTAGTATCCTTAAGGAACCCATTAGCAAAAATAAGCCCAATTTTCCTTATGGTCACAAATTCAGAAGGAAAGGTGAATTTAAACTATATCCATTTATTTCACACCTAATATAATGTAATGTAACGTAATACAATACAATACAATCCTATTGTCAGTTTTGGCTGCTCCTGTTAAGGGTCGCCACAGTAAATCATTTGCATACTGTCTACACACCGAACAAAACAAAACAAAACAAAGCAAAAAAGGCAAACTTACTATTTTCATGTTGATTGTAAAAAAAAAATAGAAAAATAAAAAATAAGTTATTCTTAACCTCACAGCAACTATTGAATGGCTGAAAGATGCTTTATAAAACCAGCATCTTAGCATCTACCAGCAGGGGCTAACTGGACTAACCAGCAAAACTTTGACCCCTTGGTTTGACCTACTAAAACTTTGTGGTAAACTAGTTAAGAAGCCATTTCAGGGACATCAGCACAACGGTATTACATGCTGTGGACAAATGCAGTTAAAAGTTGTGCACCACCAACATTAATGCTATTTCGCTGTAGACATGATATATGGAGTTTATAGCCAGAGAGAAACCGACAGCACATCACCATCTTTCATGCAGGACCAAAGTTAATCTTGTGGCACATAATATTATTTCAGTGTTTAAGAAACAAGAGTGAATTCATGCAATCCACTGAGATGCACCAGGGTCTAATTTACAGTTTCACCATTGGATGAGGCAATCGATAATAAATTATTAGCTTAGTTATGTTGCAAATTACCATAATACCTTCTCAATTATCCTTCTCGCAACAGCGGGTAACTAATTAGGCAAATGAACATGGCAACTGGCTTGCTATATAGTCAACCATCTGCATGAGACAGGACTATTCACAACACATAACATCTCTAGACTGAAAAAGATCACAACAGAGTAAACTAAATTCTTGTTGACTTGTCAAGTTGGTTAAAATCTTAGCAGAGCAACTATCTAGAATACAAACGCTACAGAAAACACACACATCCGTTTTTGCATCCTGTAGTACTTGGGTCAAGACTGCTCATTAGGGGTTATGTAATAAAGTATGGCTGGGTGGGTGTATTGGCACATGTGTAAAAGAAGTGTTTTAACCTAGTTAGTATTCAGGAGAAATAAGAAACAGAACCTTTGAAGGCAAAATGACTACTTGACCTTATGTTAATATTTAAAATGTGTAAGCTCAGAAAGATATAACGGGGTAATATCATAATCATCCTTGATGAATTCTCCTTAATGTTTTTTAAATAAAAGAGCTTGACTTATTATGTAGATCAGTGTTCGACAAATGTGGGCAGATGTTGATGTCTATGGAGCACATGAATTATAAATAATTTAATTAGGACAAAGATAATATTCCTTAATTAGAATAAAATATACTGAATTAATATTTCAAAACATTACATTCACCAATTTTTAGCAGCCCTTTTTTAGCTTTTAAAACAGAATTCAATCTCAAAAATATTTACATATTTATTGCTCTTGCCAATCACATGTACATACTAACGTTCAGAAGAGGTAACGTAATGGGGAAATATCATAAATAATTATCCTTGATAAAGCAAAAAACTTTGTAGTCAACCATACAGGTTTTGTAATGCTGATGTTGGTAGGGCAGATAAATGAATCATTTTGAGATAATGAGAGATAGGTAATATTCCTTAATTAAGAATAAATATACTGAATTAATCTAACAAAAAAAGTTACATTTATTAGCATTTTTACACAAAATTTTGTCAAAATTCACAAAATCACACTTAATTCATTCTCAAAAACAGTGATGGCTATTTGTGTTATTCAGTAAAGTAATAAGGAAGAAGAATGGATATCATTTCTAAACGCCAGAAGGAGGAAAAACTAATAAAATACACATTTCCTATGATGCCATTATCACAAACTAGAAAAAGTGCATCCTTTCATTTTGACTGAATCAAGAACATGTTTGTCCCCCATTATGCTAGAGCAACACCAATTTATGAAGAGACATCTATTCAGGGAGGTCATGTACACACTTCTGGCTTGGGATCTGAAATTTTTGGCTGGGGATGTGTGCTTTACTAAGCTGGTTGCTGAAGTGCTGCTGTGACGGGAAAGAGGTCAGTCTGAACCAGCTGCATTAAGCCCAAGGGACAAGGGAAGAAAACAACATAAAAAGCAAATCCACAAACGCAAGCAAGCACATGTGAAGTTCAAAAGCAGTTGTTAACAACTTGCATCCCAACAGTGAGTCAACAGCTGTGAGCTAATTAGTCCCAATGCCAAATAGCGAAGGCGTTAAGGATCTACACAGACATGCCCGAGCACAAGCGCCACCTACACTAACAAATTAAGGCTCAAAACAGCTGGTGGCACTTCTAAACTGGCCTTAGAGAGTGGGCTGAGCTGGCAGCACTTCTGAATGTGGTGTGCTCACCAAAGTGGTAGAAGAAAGATCAAGCCAAAGAAAGCACTCAAGACTCCTTCCCTCTGGGATACTTGCAAAACGGCCCATTGCACTTTATGGCCGTCTAGCTATTTTAGTACATGGGAAAAGAAAATACCCATCTGGGACACTTCGATAGATTTCACAGGAGTAGTGGACAATCTTAGTGGATGGTCAATTATTCGTGGACCGTGTGCACTTGGCTTAAGGAACTTCCCTTGATTAGACTAATGAATGCACACGCAGTGCTTCTGTCAACAGCACCCAGATCAACCGGGATAACATGCGCCCAGCAGGCTCCCCAGGCCCCTAGCATATTTCCATGGAAACAGACCCGACTAATGAACACGTCGTTAACGCCATTGGACAATTGCGAAAGACGGCGCAGGTTTGTTCGCCACCTTACAGGCATCACAGGCCCCTTTGTGAGACAAGAGAGCAGGTATAGCCAAAGAGCAAACACGATCTCTCCTAATGAGCGCCGCTTCTTCACTTAACACCTCATCAAATGACAGTGATGTCAGACGGGGCCATCAAGATCTGTCAGCAAGAGGGAATTGCACTGAGCCTGGTGCCTGGATCGTCAACAGCAGTTTCTCATGTGCCTCGTGGGCTGCCCATCTGACAGTAAGATGAACAACAGAACATAATCAGCTCTGAGCACACGCAGAGTAGTTACACTGAGCTGTTGCTCAAGACCAAACCTATTGAAAACCACCATCAATTATTAAATCATCAATTTAAATATTATAAATGTATTACCATTAAAAAGTCTGGGGTCAGTAAGATTTTTTTTTTTTTAAAGAAACTCATACTTAATGCATCTTTGCTAAATACTTTTGTTCAGCATGGATGCATGAAGTTGATCAAAAGTGACAGGAAAGTCATTTATAAAGTCAAAATAAATCCTGTTTTGAACTTTTTATTCTTCAAAGAATCCTGAAAAATTCATTTGTATTAGTTTTCCAAAAATATTAAGCAACACAACCATTTTCAACATTGACAATATAAGAAATATTTTTGAGCACAAAATCAACATATAAGAATTATTTCTGAAGGATCATGTGACTTCAACTTCAACTTTATTTATAAAGCACTTTCAAG